CTTAGTAAATCTGTTGTCAGACTATAAACAAATAAAATTTATAAAATTCTAAAGGGAGCTTACATCAATAAATATAATCAATTCACCAAAGTTTCATAAGAATTGCTGAAAGCATTTTTGAGTTATTGTCTGAAAACTGGAAAAATCCCCCCTTTTTTAATGAATAAAACCCCATAACTTTGAAATGTAAAATCTAAAATTTATAAAATTCTAAAAGGAGCTTACATCAATAGATATCAACAATTCATCAAAGTTTCATGAGAACTGCTAAAAGCATTTTTGAGTTATTGTCCAAAAACTGGAAAATCACCCTTTTTTTTATGAATAAAACCCCATAACTTGGAAACGTAAAATCTAAAATATATAAAAATCAAAAGGGAGCTCATGTCAATAGATATAAACAATTCACCACAATTTCTTGCAAGTTGGTGAAAGCATTCTTGAGTTATTGTCCGAAAACTGGAAATTCCCCCTTTTTTAATGAATAAAACCCCATAACTCTGAAACGTAAAGTCTAAAATTTATAAAAAACGAAAGGGAGCTCACATCAATAGATATAAACAATTCACTAAAGTTTTATGCAAATTGGTTAAAGTGTTTTTGAGTTAATGTCCGACATGTTGACGATGAATGGACAGACGGACAACGGTATACCATAATTCGTCCCGTAAACGGGCGTATAAAAATCAATGACAAGAACATCCTTCACACATCTGCATTCATGTTTAAAAAAATTACAATATACCAAGTTTCACATAGAGACAAAAAACTTTGTCTGTTCGATATACCCCCCTTCCCCACCCCAAAAAATGTTTTGAGTGTGAAGGGAGGTGTATAATTATACGTTTTTTTAAGCAATCGTTAAACATGAAAATGAGGCCAAGGACAATTAATATATGCAAGACAAAAATTTCAGATCAAAAGTCATCTGTATACAAGATATGAAGTATTTTCAGGTCTTTTAGCATCTGGAATATAAATCTTTATACAAATATTTTATAAGGTCAGTGGTCCCATTGGATTAGCATCCTTATGTCCCTCATGCTTGAGCATTCAACACAGGCAATTCAAAAATCACCATAAAAGTATGCTCATACTTATGTATATGTAAATAAAGAGCTGCGTCATCAGCGCATGATACGCCCGTCACTATTCAAAGAATAAAGTTCCATAACTCCCCAATGTCATTTTTTATAGATATAAACCACTCACCAAAGTTTCATGAAAACTGCTCAAAGCACTTTACAGTTATTGTCTGAAAACTGGGACTCCCCCCCTTTTTTTGATGAATAAAATCCCATAACTTGGAAACGCAAAATCTAAAATTTATTAAAATCAAAAAGGGAGCTTACGTCAATAGATATAAACAATTCACCAAAGTTTCATGCAAATTGGTTAAAGTGTTTTTGAGTTATTGTCCAACATGTTGACGGCCGACTGACGGACGGACAATGGTATACCATAATACCTCCTGTAAACAGGCGTATAAAAAATTGATTTTTTTGTTACAAATCATAGTGTATTGTTTTGTGTGTATAAATGTCATGCTGCCCATCAAGGGCCCTTAATTGGAACAAAAAATATTTAACTCAAACTTTATATCTGAAATTTGCACAAATAATTTAAATTTAAATGCTTTGGCCTATAAATGGTTAACTTAACAAGGAAGCTGAAATTGTATAGATTAAACTGGATTTCCAAATCTATTTTAAATTATTTTAATTAAGGTAAAGGTACAGCACAGGTAACATCATGAAATAAAAATAAAGATAATATTTCCTATTAAAATAAGTTGTAAGTGTTTATAACTTTAATATTGAAACTAAATTCTCACATTAAGTTTTTAGACAAAAGTAACCAAAAACGTTTCATTTTGCACTTCATAACTTTACAGCATGAATTTTTGTATACCCCATAACACCTTAGTTTCATCTTCTGTTGCTGGCAAACCACCAAAATAATGCATATTTAAAGCAACAATTCATATTATTTTGCATTGGTTTAATTGACAGCCTTTCAAGGCACACTGAATTCAAATATAGGTGAAGGTAAGTGATTTAAAATATAATAGTCAAAAAGTGTTTTAATTTTGAAAAGAAAGAGTAAATTTAAGTAACTTTCGTTTGGTCTATAGATCACATTAACAGTGTTTCAGAATTTTTTCACTAATGAAAACTATTTCAATTTGTTAGATATTAGTCTTCAATTTCAAAATATCTAAGGCAACAGGGCTGTTTTTTTGCTGAGGAGGTATTGAGTTTTATTTTGAGCATGAATTTTTCTAATCAAGTGCAAAAAGTAATTAATCTTTTCAACAGCTGTCATGGCAGGTTTTTTTTGCTATTTTTAATCATTAAAAAAATGAAATGTAAACTAAAGTTGAATCCAACTTTTGGAAGAAAAAAATGGACTTAAATTTTAGATCAGCAACTCTTTTCACAAAAAATTCTTACATGAAAAAAAACTTGTAAGTCATGAACATTTCAGTATAACTTACAATATTTTTTTATTGTCGTGAAAATAGCTTCAGAATTTCCCTAAAAAAATCTAAGGCCACTTATGGTGCATATAATGACAGGGCAAGTAATGGTATTCTTGGTGAAATTTATAGATTTCAGTCGAATTAATTTTTTTTGTGTTAAACAGTTAAAATAAGTTTTGTATTTATTTACAGCACATCTATCCAATAATTACCACCTTAAATTTTGTGAAAGCATGCTAGCTTCAAATGCAGGAGGTTGATTCAAACCAAATACCTTAAACCTGTATTTGCTGCTTCTCCTCCAAGCATGCTGCAATTTGGAGAACTAGCTGGAATTAGTGAGTTCAGAGTATTTCATAGGAGGATTTTTTTACTAATATTTGTTGTTGATTTTCTAAAAGTTTTATTTTTATTGAAACAATTGAAAAAAAAAAAAAATTTTGGAACAAAAGATGATAAACATGTACAGACCTCAAATGATAAACAATGACAAAGAATGAGCATTGAATAACTAATAAATTTAAGAGAAAAATTAAGGAATAATAACATCTTTTACTGGAAAAGATATGTTTCCCAAATAAAAATTGAACTTTGGTGGATAGTTGTCTCATTGGCAATCATACCACATCTCCTTTTTTTAAAATGAATATATAAGATAAGATATGCAACACATTACTGAGCATATATGGGAACAATGCAGGCTGTGATGTGTTATTTGTTTCCTTTGTGGGTGTGTGGGTGTTTGTGGGGTGGGGTGGGTGGTGGGGGGCACTTCCTATATACAAGGTCACAGTGATAGGATGTGCTGCTGGAATAGGCCACATTTTCCAGCTTGAAAATATGTAAATATGTGTGGAAAACTATCAGAAATATATGATAAGGTTATTACTTGTTATATAAAAAGCCCTGTATTTTTTTTACAGCCGAAATTCATCTTTCTTGGTGTCCCCGGCGGTGTTTTTATCCATAAATTTTCCCTCTTTTGACACTTTGGTATTCCACCTTCCAACACACAACACTAAACCCAACCAATATGGGAAAAGGTTACATTTTTACCTACGCAATGTATGAAAAGGTATACATTTTTAAAATCTAAATTATATGAAAAGGGTCGGGTAATGGAACCCCAGCAGCGCCCGTATTGAAGTGCCTGCCGCCACACCCACTTAATAAATTTTAAGTAATTTAAAATAATTCTTTCATCTAAAAAAAGTTCATTTTCTGTAGTTAATTTTTAATCGATTCACCGAAGAATGTATTTCCTTGTATATATTGCATATAAAATAAATAACTATATATACCTTATATATTTTATATCTATCATGTATATTTGTAGTTTGGTTAGCTATATTTTTGTAATCAAATTTTGTGTGAATGAATATTATTAGTTATATAGTCTGCTAATGACCTAATATGATATATACAGGGTCAGTAAATTCCAAATGGGGCGATAGCGAGGGAAGCTTGAGCCCCATATGGAATTTACCGACTCAGTATTTATATTGTATTAGGTCACTAGCACACTGTGTAAATAACTTATCTTACCAACTATCTAATATGGGGAATTAAGACGTAGCTGTAAACCTTGATATCACAATTCTAACTCAACGTTCCAAAGGACATTCAATTATTTACAGTGAGAAAATCAGCATCTCTAAGACATGTTTTGTCTATAAGCATGAAATATTATGTCAGTTTACAATGAATGTTACTTTGAGAAGAACACCGGTTTTTTTTAAGGAATGTAACTCTACTACTAACCCTGTATTGTTTTTATAAAGGGATGTAACACTATTACTAACAATGTATTAAAATAAAAGTGCCCACTGACCAAATATTAAATATACATGGTCTCCATGTGTTCGATTTTAATCAATGATTTTCCTAGAAGTGTATAGAAGGCAACTCAGGTAAGATAAATGTATATATTATTGTGTATTTGTTAATTATGTATATATTTCTATATATTAAAAGCTGAAGAAATGATATCAAAGGGAGATAATTTTACAGCAAATTCAATTATAGTTACACAATTCAGATTATCTCCCTTTCATTGCATGTTTTCAACATGTTTTTACAATTTTTTCAATTATTTACCAAAATAAATTTGGATTTTCTTTTCAGAACACATTAAAATAGTTTAACAATCTTTACAAACAATGTTAAGGATAAATTATTACATTGGTTGCAAAGAAATACCTTGATTTCCAAATTAATTAAACACTGATGGTTATATAAATTCACATGGGAAAGAACTCTTGTAATTTCACTCCTCTGAGTTGATCATTTAATAACAAGTGTTGTCATGAGGTGTCAATACATCAAAACAAAGTCAAGATGTGTAAAAAAAAGTCAATGTCATATAGGAATGACTAATCCAAGTATTCAAATATATGAAAAATATTAACTTGAGACCCTGCATGACAATTAATGTGTTGTTAGGTCAAGAAGCCTTTCAAATATATGCACAGTTAGCGAATACGTCTGACTTTCACCACTTTTATTACCATATACTATAGCCTGCATTTCAACTCTGCCAAGGCCGGTCCCAAGCCCGGCTGAAAAAGGAGGAGGGTTAAGGTTAAGAAGTAATCTTATCTTGTAAAACATGCTTTGCTGGATTGCTTAAATACCAAAAGATACAATGTAGGCCAATTTAAATTCTCCAACAGACACTGAACTTTTGGAAAAGGTAAATTGTGCTTCTTTTTAATATATTTTTTTTAATAAATTAATATTTTTGCAACTTACAAATGTATTTTACAGACGCAAATTAATTATACCTGAACAAAATATATTCAACTCAATAAAATTTCAAAAAAGGATAATTAGAATTTAGTATGTAATAGTGATTTGTCAGCCATTTGTTGCATCAACATTAATTAACCAAAATCCAATGTTATGAGAGCATCATATTCATTGCATGCTAAAAAATAGTTTAAACATTCTTTTTTTCATTCTTTTAGTTAACATGTTAAATAATATGTGTAATCTGAGTGGCAAAGGGACTATTTTTTGCCTCTCCCATGATGTCCTTGATGCTGTGTAAATTCAAAACTATTCATTCTCCATAGCAATCAACATGTCTACAGGTGACAAGGTACACTGCCATTTATTCAGAGGGATGCATTACTTTTTCTTTAAGTCAAGGATTCCTTACAGAGTAAACTTTTAAGTTCTTTTTCTCCTCATTATAATAGTTATCAAAGGTACCAGGCTTATAATTTAATACGCCAGACGCGCTTTTCGTCTACATAAGACTCATCAGTGACGCTCAGATCAAAATAGTTATAAAGCCAAACAAGTACAAAGTTGAAGAGCATTGAGGACCCAAAATTCCAAAAAGTTATAGTGGCATGTTTTTGCACAGTTCTGACAAAATAAATACTGTGTTGTGACTGAATACTGAACATTATGAAGGTCTTTCAGACATTACATATCAATTAATGAAAGGTTATTATGGCTCACAAAATTGAACAAGTCTCAGACATTGTAAACCCTTGTACTTGTTCTTGAATATAGGTAAAATATTTTTGTCTGATGAATATGTCTCACTATATCAATAATGTCCCAAGAAAATACAAATTTCCTGTAATAAAATTTTCCAAACCATATTCTTAACCAGAAACTTAGTATGGTACCTTACACTGTCAAAAGTGCTGTTGAACTTTGAATCTAAATTATATTTGGTAAAATTTTCACACAAAAGTTCAACAAAGCTTTCTATTTGAGTATTCAATTTTGAAGTAGCAGTCCATTTGTTTAAGGGGTCTTGTAATTAATAATAAAAGAAGATTTAAACATTCAAATTAATCAATCACATCAGATGAGTTTACCAACTCAATCATACCTTAGTGTCAGGTGGGAATAGGGATATTAAATCTGATGCCCTGTGTAGGGTGAGTGCCACGCTCTCTGCACGTTAAAGAACCCTTGCAACAACTCTCTGAGGGGTCTTTAGGTGGCCTGTTGCAAGGCAAAATTTCTGACCCTACCCAAAATACCTTAATTTTCCAGTGGCAGTCAAAATTTCCTCCCTTCATCCTGGTCAACCTTCCTAGCCAAACCTGCATATTATATTAATTGTAAATTTTTTCTCGTTCTGAATATGCATGAAATATTTATCACAAGACCTTAAGTAAAAAAAAAATCAGTCATAATTTCCATTTTGGTAAATTATGATGTGTTTCTATGTTTATTTACCTACCTAAAACAGATTTATTGAAAACAAAAAACATGCTAAAACAATTGAAAATATGTTACCCCTATAAAGATTGGATGCACGATATTATGTCTAATATTCTGCTCCATTATGCTGGACGAGAAACACATTCAAAACCAAAAAGGATATGGAAAGAAAAACCTGAGCACTGGCCACTAAATAAACCATTTTATGACCCAAAAAACAAATCACGAGATGAACACGGAAAGTCTATATCAGATGAAGACCTCTTGAAAAGTTTGCTTGATTGCTGCAAGCACAAAAATGTACAAATCAACTTCCTATACCAGAAAGAGGTAGACGCTTGGCATGAAAAAAGACGTGAACTGCTTTATAAGTTGTATATATTCCGTAGGAATACAGAGAAAATCAAATTAGCCATTCAAAACATACTGTTTTGTAAAGATTTTGAAGAAATAAAAGCAGCTTTGAAAAATATTAATGTTAGTCTTACTATAGATAAAATAGAAATAGACTTTATCAAGATCCGGTGCAAAGGACAATCTGAACTAGTAACTGAAATAACACGCAACCTTGCCACAATACTATGTAAAATTATTAAAGGAAAAGATCCTGAAGCGAAATATGATGGTATTTGGAAATCTCCACCGGAAAACTGGCCTTCAGCAGTTCCGTTTTATAGTCCACACAACAGAGGAAAATGCAAACAGACCGGCTCAGATCAGGAGCTTGTTTCAACTCTCATTCAAAATCCAAAAGCCATAATTCCTCTGAAATATCAGTCTCTAGTTACAGCTTTTCAGAAAGTTGTAAATGCAAATAATTCCAGGGAAGCAAAAAAGCATAAAGAAACAATGTGTAGAATTTATACCATTCAGAATAATATATCAATTATTGACAATGCACTGAAGACTATGCATGAACATGGCCTATTCACACTGAATATACACAGCGTTTTAAACCAATGGTGGACAAAACAAACTCTTGATAGTCAAAGTGATTATTTCTTGAAGAATTCAGCAGTAATTTCAGACAATAGACAAGCTATTCAAATACACATTACAGAGACATCTTTCAAAATTGGCTTCCAAGCAAATAATCAGGAGGATACTACAAAGTCACTTGTATTGTACAACATTTCTTCTCAAACACAAAAATCTAGTTCACAAATAATCTGCAGCAGTTCATCAAAATGTCCTTTGATCAATGATCAGGAAAAAGTTAATAATGATAGTGTATTTCCAAGCTGTTCAGAAGGCAGAGATTATGAACATTCTCAAGATCAGGAAACTTTATCGAAAGAAAAATCTAAAAACTGTAAAACACCAGAACCCAGATATCATCTTAGTGAATACAAGGGGAGCAGCAAAGATGAACCAGTCACTGCTATTGATAATGATGCTACATCTCAGACAATGGGAAAAGTAAGTATTATCTCAAGTTTCTAAACACACAAAGAAAATGGTCTAAAAAATCATATGCTTACTGTATGTCTTACATTACACATCATGTACAATGTCAAACATTTATTAGGGAAAATAAGCAGTGAACATGGTGAAGTGATAGGGAAGTTACAATTAGTTTAATTTTAAAACAGGTGGTCATCTAAGTGTGTAATTCAATGGCACTTATGCTTTATAAAGTTTATACTTGTACCTGGAAAAGTACATGTACATTAGTGTATATGTTTCATAATATATTCAAACATTTAGTTCTGTATTGAATACCATAACCATAAGAGGGTCAAAATCAGGAATCTTTAAGTCAACTGATTATAAAATGCAATATCAAGTTAACTTATCCCTGCTGACATAAAATCATCATAAAAAAATAAGAAGATGTGGTATGTTTGCCAATGAGACAACACTTCCCCAGAGACCAAATGACATAGAAGTTAGCAATAATAGGTCATTATACGACCTTCAACAATGAGCAAAACCCATACCTCATATAAGCTATAAAAGGCACACGAATTGTTAAATGTAAAACAATTCAAACGAGAAAACAATAAACGAAAAACAAATATGATGAACAGCAACAAACGACAATTCTAACCACTGAATTACAGGCTCCTGACTGGGGACAGGCACATACAGAATGTGGCGGGGTTAAACATGTATATTTAAGACATATAAAGTAGGTTATAATATATAGCTAGGATAAATATAGTTTAAAGATGCTTATAATTTCATATATAAAATTTAAATATATATAGTTACTAACTGTGGTTTTTTCTGTATACAACCTTGAAATATTATTGGCCTACATGAAGAAATTATAAGCAATTAAATTTATACCTGTACACTTGACATTGTAAAATGATCCATATATAAGATCCTCAAATCACCTATACAGTTCAGTTTCCCACATTAAGAATATCAAAATAACAAAATAAAAAATTTATTTCTTACAGAAAAGAAAACATCCTCAAGATGAAGAGCTGCAGTCTGGTATAAAAAGACCAACATTATCAGCTGACAAAAATTATAACACAAAGGTACAATGTATATACATACAATATATATATAACTATACATGTAAACAAAACAAAATTTTTCCATCCCCCTTAATTTCCCCTACTATCAAATGTATGGTGTAAAAATTTAAAGAAATAAATCAAAATGACTGAATAAAGTTTATGATGAATGATTTAATGAAATTTGGACCAACATCAACTTAAGCTTGTGTTCATCCAAATATACCTATTTACATAGATTGCAGGTTAATAAGTATTGACAAAATAACAAAGATGTAAACACTAACGACAGTTATCGATGAAAAATATGTTACTTAAGTGGGAGGCATTTATATTTCTAAAGATTCAATCTAAATTCAGCATCCTTTCTCTTAACATTTTTGAAATAAAATAGATAAAGTCAATCAATGTTATACTCCAGAATATATAAATTCAGGAATTTTTGGGATGTTTTTTTTTTGGTGATAACTGCAACAAGATATATATAGGTTTTGCAAAAATACAAACTCTCATTTAAAATTTTAAAATAATTATTTATATGCAATATTTCCAGAAATTGCAATAGTTAATGTCGAATAAAGTGACCATTGTTTGACAATCTCTATAATAAATGCATGCAAAGATACTCAAATTAACAATACTTCACTAATGGAAATTTCTCAATTTTAACTTTATTTTCAGACTGACGAAATTATAGAAACACAGCAATCAGAGCAACCATTGGTAGGAAACCTAGTGAATGATAACGATGAATCACACAACCCTTATTTAGGAATAACAGATTCTGAATTACATGATTTATTAACTAGTATATCAACTTTTTCGCCGGAGGCCAACCTCAACATATTGTCTAATGAAGACAATTGTTTTAGTGATCATCAGCTAGAATTAATATTAACAGACATGGTTGAATATGAATCAGGCAAGAACTCAAATACCGAAGAACTTTTATCAAGAGGTCATGACATCAAATGATTTGTACATACATGTATTATAATATATATTTTTTATGATTATTTTTCTTTAGGTTTTAAATAGAGAATTTTACTGATAACACCTAAAATAACTAAATTATCCTGCAGATTTTTCAATCATTAACTTTTTTGGAATTTTGGTAATCAAGTCATCAAATTAACTTTAAATGTCTCCTTGAAAGATTTATATTGCTCTCCTTAATAATGGTGCTCTATAAAAACATTTTCATTATAACCAATACAACACTAAAAAAAAGAAGGCATTTAATGTGTTAAAAAAAACTCAATAAGATATGAAGAAATCAAACACAATCATAAAACAAGCTCTAGGAAAAAAAAAGACGAAAAGACAAATAAAGGTACACTAAACATTACTCTGAAAACTGTAGACCCCATCAAAAAGTGGTACTCAGGTACATTTTGTCCTTAAGAAGGTTAAGCAACTCCTGCTAGTGGTAATCAACATGCTGCTTTTATACAGTAAACATTTGTAAATGATACCCTTAATTTTATTTCCTTAAACATTCAACGTTTGTTGGTGTGGTTCATAGGTGTTTTTCATTTCTCGTTTTTTTATATAGATTAGACCGTTGGTTTTCCTGTTTGAATTGTTTTACACTAGTTATTTTTGGGCCATTTATAGCTTGCTGTTCACTGTGAGCCAAGTCTCCGTGTTGAAGGCCATACTTTGTCCTATAATTGTTAACTTTTTATACATTGTGACTTGGATGAAGAGTTGTCTCATACCACATCTTCTTACTTAAAATTACAGTATTCTACAGAATAATTTTTTTAGAATTTGACATGTCAAATTTACCCAGAAAGAATAAGTTATTTGTTAAACTATTGCAGGATACGAAAACAAATGTTGCCAAAGAATAATGCTATCTGTGCTTAGAGAGAACACATGACTAGAAAAATGACATTTCAACGAATTTTAAACCTCGCGCAGATAGCTTAATTCTAGTGCAAATAATTTGTAGTATGTTTCTTGACAGGGCAGAAACATGAAGATAATAAATTCTCTATTCAAAACCATCACCAGTGCTTAAATTGTTATTTCTGTTCCCTCTAGTGTTATCAATTATAGGCCATTCAAAAAAATATTAGTTTCTTTAGGAAAACTCAAAAACTTTCAACAGAAAGTGATAATGTTAAGCAATTTTTTTTTTAATTTTTATTTTTTATTAATAGTAAAGGTTAGACTCAAACTGAACAAAATATAAAAAAAACATTCTTTATTTACTGCCTGTCACATGTACTTATGTCATGCAAATCATACATGTTTCAAACAAAATTTTATATGCATGCATATACACAATGTACTTAGATATTGCCCAATAATATTAAAACTTTTATTCATCTTTATTTTAAACAACTGAGAATTATTACAAAAGCAATGAAATGAAAATTCAAATTCAAAATGCTAAAGAAACAAACATTTTTTTGAATGGCCTTATTAATACAAACATACATGCACTTGGCTACTGGATCTTCCTTTTGGTTTTCTTTTTCATCAAAGCTGATTTTGGCATGCAAATAATTATACCTGCATGAGAATATATCTACCTAGATGACTTGGCCACAAAGTCCATACATCACTTTTAAAAAAGTCTTCTTTTACACATTCTTGAACAGGGGAGGCTGAATATTTTTTCATGAAGCTTTGATAATGTAAGAAAACAGATGGAGGGTCCAGTAGTGAACTGCTTGTGTCTTAATACTTAGCACATTGTGCAAGTATTCATATATTCATGTATTTATGTATTGTAATAAATGATATTTTAATGTTGATTGTGTTTATCCTTTTCCACTTACATTACAGGGAAAATATTGTCCATAAAAGTTTTTACATCAAGGTTAAATCTTATGAAAGAGAAAGTTAATGTAAGAGACACTATCTTGTATCTGAAATTGTTGACAGAGTAAATTTCTTATATCCTTTTAATAAACATGTTAAAAATAACATTAATTTTTAATGCTAAATGAACTAAATTTTTCTAATTGGAATTTTTTGTGAAGAAAAATCAGTTGTGATGTCACTTTGTCATAGCTAGATTTGATTAAAAAAAAGAAAAATGTTTTGCAAACTTAAATTTGATGCAAACCCTGACCAAAACAGATATTTAACCCACATAAACAACTTTGCATAAGATATCTCTTTTTTGGTTTGGCTATGGCTTATATTCAAGGTTGGGCGGTATTTACCGCCCCCGGTATTTACCAGTGGTATTTACCGGTATTTACCGCCCCGGACAATACTCCCCAAGTGGTCAATACTGGCAAATACTGGTCAATTGAAATTTTCATGCTTCTTTTGACTGACTTGTCTATCAATTCTAGTTAAAAATTGGATGATGAGGGAAAACTTTATTCCTTTGACAGGATTCAGTTTATAAAAATGAATGATATTGGTATGTTATTGATTATTAAAACATTAAAAATGACTAATTTGGTTCTTAGGGGTAATGATATTGCATACTGTTGGTATACATATAAAATTGAGCAGCTCTAAATATCAGTTATTTTAACATGTATAAATCAAGATATTTTTTTTCTTGAAAAGGTTTGAATTTTACAGGTAAATAGAATTACAAGTGACTAGCAATATAGATTATCAGAGCATTACCTATTATATGGCTAATAGGTGTCAAAAGTTTAATAACTATAACAACTGTCCCCTAATAAATGTTGACATAACAGGAAAAAAGTCATAAAAGTGATTTCTGAAGATTGTTTTAAACAATGAATTAATTCCTGACTATTCAACATAATGATAAAAATCTTCGAAATGCAGGAAATGTTTTTTTTAATAAATATATAACATACATATATATAAAACTTTTTTTTAAAATTTTTTAATTGCATCTTTCAAAATAACTGTTAAGAAAACTAGATGTTATATAGTCTCTTTTCAGTGACTGACTTCATGGTGTTAATGACTATATCTGTTGTATGATTAAATTTATATTTGATAAATCTTCATTAAACCATGTTCATGAACTAATCAATTGTTGTCTCATTTGCACTCATACCACATCTTCTTATATCTATCATGAACTAATTAATTGTGACTTTTTGTCCTAGTACATGTACAATGTAGTAAATGAGTGACTTTCTGCCTTGTGACTATATCTATCCATTTACCAAGTAATTGACCTGAGGTAGAGACTAGTTTTTATAGTAAAGTCCAATCAAAATTTCAATTGACCAGTATTTGCCAGTATTGACCAGTATTTGCCGGTATTTACCGGTATTTACCGCTGGCATGGTCAATACTAGTATTGACCGCTTTATTGCCAACCTTGCTTATATTAAAAGAATTATAAGATCTCCAAATGAGGTTAATTATGTTGTCAGTTTCTGCAATTTGGCATTTAATGCAAGAAGTTTGAATCCCAAAATCAAATATGTAGAATGAACCAAAAATACAAATACTTATATCAGACAGGCTTATGTCTTGTGAACATTTCAAGAATGTTATTTAATTGATCCCTAATTACATTTTTATAGTAAGATTGGCCTTATCATACCCAATCCTTTGTTGGTTTTCAGACACACTAGCCTCTTAAATGTCTTGATTACATTGATTGATTGGTGTTTAATACCTCTTTCAGTTCTTTGCTACATAGTAGTGGCCAGTTTTTATTGGAGGAGGAAACTAAGTGCCTGGAGATACCAACGTCTATCTGCAGGAAAACTGCAAAAATTCAATCAATGAAGATTGTCATGATTACAATTAAACCAAAAAATATAGTACCAATTTATAAATTTTTTTAGCTCATAATTTTTAAATCCAATCTTGAAATTTTCCAACAACAACAAAAAAATATAATCATTCAATCACAATGAAATATATTTAACTAAAATAAACTGTTAATTCAGCAGAATTTGTACCCTAATAAACATTAGTAAATGGAAAAAAAAATAGAAAGTCTCCTACTTGCCTCAATTTGTAACATAAAAAGGGGGGGATAAAAATGCCATGCATTTAGTGTATTATTCAACTTGAATTATACTCACTGGTTTAATTGCAAATTTTATGGTAAAATTCAGAATATCAACTCTTTGACGAACTACTAAATTTATCACTGGGTTATAACAAGAAAATATAAGTGATAAATTTCTCATACAGGACACATCTTTGATGTCATGGATGTAGTGAACAACTAGTAAGTGTAATAGACAACTGGTCAGCTTCCATCGAAAACAGGAAACAGATTGACATCTTTATACTTGATTAAAAAAATTCTTCCCCTTTCAATCATTGTGTACTGGTACAATGAGAAAAGATGAGAGGGTACCAGGGGGCAATCAAAAATAAACTTTAAGTCAATAGAGACAGACAAAACCATGGTCAAATGAAAAATGGTGAACAGAAAAATAAGTCCACAAAAACGTTACATAGAAAACTAAAGTGTGAGCAACATAGATGCAGACAAAACAAAAGATGATATCAGGTGCTCTGTAAGGTAAAGTGGTTTCTGTTCCACTAATGGCACCATTCTTGTTAAGACAAGAAAAGAACCTTGGATAAGATGTGTGAAGGAAGTGGTTTTTCTCAGTGGAATACTAATATTAGTAATAGAGAGAGAATGCAAGAACGTCATCAATCAAATGTCATTGACATTTCTAGGAAAACAGGAATAAACAGATTATCATTGTTTATGGTCTTTAAAATTCAAGGAAGTTTCTCTGCTACATGGCTATCAACCTTTGATCAGATTGAAGCCAAAATATGCCCTGTCCTTTGAACTCCTTTCAAAAACCATCAATAATCAATATATATAAAAAAATTTCAGAAAGTTTTTAACTGCATTGATTGAGTGAGATACAATATTTCTCCAGTAGAGTTATCTAATTTCAAAATATCAGACTAGCCCAGCATTTCAAACATTTAAAGTTTAACCTTGATATGAAAAGAAATATTTTATCATACAAGATACAGTACTCAGATCTGTTTTCTTAATAGTTTTCAGTCAATATATAATGAACTTGACATTAGCTTTCAATGGTCTACAAAATATGAGTTTTTTTCTCTTTATATATTGATATTACAGAGGATAACTAGACAACTGACATGTAATGAAGGTACCCAATTTGCACATTTTTGTGTAAGGCACAGAAAAAAATATTGGTAATTAATACTGGTGCAAATAAAGCATGGGTATACATTTTTGTAAATTAAGACACCAGGAAATAATTCAGGATAAGTTTTAGATAAGTATATATCAAGTTTCATCAAGATCTGAGCTGACTATGATTATTTTTATGCTTCTCAAAATTTGTACATTCATGACATTGTAATATTTTTTTAAACAAAAACAAAGTTTTAACCACATTTTTTTTTACATGACTCTCCAAACCAGAAGTCAGCTGATGTGGGTTTTGCACAGAGGGCTGATATGACTCTCCCATTGAAATTCCCATGGGAATCTAAATCAGCCCACTAGTTTGATACATCTAAGTGCTTTTCTTTTAATGCCATATCAGCAATGCAAAAAATAAGGTTATCACAAGAGAATATGTGATAATCCATATACAGGACACAGAGCTACTACATGTACAAATGTAGTGAACAACTATTTAGCGTAATAGCATTTGATACTGTTACTCACAAACTTCTTAAATGTAAGCTCAGTAGATATGGAGTACCAGTACAAACAAACATATCAAAACTTGCTAGACTCACACTTAATGCAGAATGACAAACATTTTTTTCAGTGGATAAAATGTGCTAAACGTGAGTCAATGACAGTGGCTTCCTTAATTCGCATAACTTCTTTTAAGTTACAATTTCATAATTTGATCAAGTAAGGTTCAATGTTTAAAGTTTTAAGTATACATTTTTAGAAACAGATCAAATTCAAAACTCACTTGTGAAGATTGTTCGTAATTTCAAACATAATATAAAAATTAGAAGATGTGGTATGATTGTCAATGAGACAACTCTCCACCAGAGACCAAATGACATAGAAGTTAACAACTACAGGTCACTGTACAGCATTCAACAATGAGCAAAACCAATACCAATAGTCAGCTATAAAAGGTCCTGAAATGACATATATATGTAAAACAATTCATGCAAGAAAACTAATGGCCTGATAATGAACAAAAATCAAATATGATATACAGCAACAAATGACAACCACTGAATTACAGGCTCAACTATACTATGTTTCACCTCTAAGGATTGCTTACTGACTTTGAAAACAATTATTTTAGAATGAAGGTGAATAGTTGTAGGTTGTCATAGGGTTATTTTCATTGCCATAATCTTACTTCATGTATAATTAGATTCTATTCAATTGTCAAAAGATGGAGATTTTTTTCTTTCTTGAGGCATAGCCTTTTAATATTTCAATTTTAGAAGATAATTTATTTTTTGCATAGTTACTTTTTTTTCTTAACATTTATTATTAATGATTTGATATGTGTGGATTGGAAAGAAGATTTTCAAAGAATAGTGAACCATATTTTTATTGAGTTTATTTCATATATTTTCTAGAAAGAGACATTGAAAAAGTACTATTATCAACAACAAAAACTTAACTAACCTAGTTTTATTGAACCACAATGGTTCATTGCAATAATATGCTTCCTGTATTCCAATATTCAAAAAACCTTATAGATATATTGTTGAAAGTAATATAATTGGAAATAAACACAAATTTTTTATTGCAATTTGTTCAGGGTAAAATTTTACCAAAATACATGGCTTTTCACAGATGGTTATTGCACTGATTTTACATAATCATTTTATGCTAGTGTACAATGTAGATCAAAAGTCATACCTGGTCAAGCATTTTGTATTGAGGTCCATAATACATTTGTAAAGTGTCTGCTCACTTATAATATAGGACTATATATATATATATTTTTTTATAAAGTTAGGTCAAAATGGTTGGCATTTTAAGACCTTGGTATTCCAACTCCAATACTATAAAGAACTGGAAGACATTTATACCACAGGATGTTCCACAGGGTTGGATCTTCTAACAGACAAAGACAGATCATGTGCAGATAATGTTATGGCGGGGTATTTGGATTGATCGCTACATGATGGATCCTTTGAGTAATAATGTCCATGGGACGTGTCACTGTACCATATCAAGACCAATTGCGATTCTGAGAGGTCAATGAAAGCAATAAGCAAACCAGGCAGATCTAAGCTATTGACAATGATTGAAAAAGGGGTATCATTTTACATCTAAAGTAGAATTGAGCACTTGCTGCAAAAGTAAAACACATAGCCTAACTGTTGTGTGTTGTTGGACATAAATTCCTACCATATTTGACTATAAATTTTTGAACATGGCAACGCCAATTACACATGACATACATAGATAATTTATACATATTTGAATTTACACCGGTTTGCATGTAATCAGTAGTATTATAAGCTTACGTTGTCTAAATTTTAAAGTCACTGGTTTTGGAGTTGAAATTACAGATTTGACAGCTGAAATAGATGCTAGAATAGGCTGTGGCCATTCAGAATTTGTTGACCCTGACTTAGATCTTCGGTCTGCAGCAGCTAACTCATCTTGCAAAGAAGTTTGTTTTGGTCCTGTCTCCGCCATGTTTGTAGGAGGAGCTCCTATTTGTTGCTGTGAAGTGTTGATTCAAGTGGAAATAAACAGACGGCATTTTCGAAATTTCAGACGAAATCGAGCTACTAAACTACGTTGCAAGATTATTCAAGGGATACCAACGTAGAATATGTTTTGTTCGCTCTATCTTTTTCAATGTAAGGGGAGCTAAGTCATGCAAATTATTTATTTTCATAAAGGAATGTACAGTAAATTTACATATTTTGTTTTGTACATGGAGTTGTATAGTAAAATCTTTCTGTAAAATTCTTGTTCTATTTATAAAAAAAAGAGAGAGTTCTGTTACCCTAATTCAGTTTGCATTTTATGTTCTGAAAGCACGTTAAGAACTATTATCTTTTCATATTTAATTTCAAAATTCTATTCTTTATTTGATACTTATTTATCTATTTACATTTGGTCATAATATATTGACGTTAGTATAAGGGACGACATCAAAAGTTCAATGTAGGATAAAAAAAACTTAATTCACATAGTTTTTTCACTGACCCCCACCCCCTCTTAACTTAATTTGGGAAAAAATTATTGACCAAAATGGATATATGTAAAATCGATTTTGGATAAACAAAACTTGCAGCAATTTTAACCCCCCACCCCCAAACTATTTGATTTAAGTTTTTTATCCTACATTGATCTTTTGATGTCGTCCCTAATAGTCCCAGATTTACACAACATTGGTTTTTACATGTATAGTCCATACAAAATCAGCGACAATTTTGCAGAACCCAGTGTTGCTTGAAAAAAGCCCTGTGACCCATACCGTTTTATTCATGATATTTTTCTCAAATTAACATAATATAGACTATATAAGTAAGTAAGTACGTAAATTTTATTTGAAGTCGGCATATATGTACATAATAACAGAGAAAACATGAGCTCTGATGAGCTCTTTAACCGACTATCATATAAAAAACATGCAGTTTCATGCACTGAATACGTATAAATAAAAATGAAAAAGCATGCAAATATAACATGTATAATATAAGCAAATTAATTTTGATTTCTGAACCTCCAGGGTTAACTTGATGCTCATGCGGCAAACACATCTAGGTGCATTGAATTGGAAAACCAGCAATCACTGAAATACAGCTATATATAATAATGTATAAAAAAGCAGAGCAAAAGGCCAGAAATAAAAAAAGAAAGAAATCTCAGCTATGAGGCAGCACTGGATGGAAACGGCACGAACTGCAAATGCATTTTTGACCCCCACACCAGGAACTTATATAATTCTTAAATTGGTCAAAAGAGGTCATAGTTCTGGCCTCATTGGGAAGGGAATTCCATATTTGTGCTGCCTCAAATCTAAAAGATCTTTTACCATAGCTTGAGGTTCTTGGTCTAGGTACCTCAGCAGTGTTTACATACCTGAAATTATATGAATTGTTTTTTTTTATAACAACAAGATCTTGAATAAATAAAGGACATTTTTTATTAATTATTTTAAAGGTCTCCAAGGCAATTGAGCGCATTCTACGAGTTTTTAGTGATGGAAGGTTTGAAATCTGCAGGAGTGTTTCGTACGAGTTCTGATAGTCTTCATACATAAAGCGAAGCGCTCGTTCTTGTATTTTTTATATTTTTCTGGTATTTTGTTCCCCTCAGAAATGCCAAGTCAAAGGGCAGTAACTAAAGTTAGACAAAACAAATGAGTAATAAATTGTAAGTTTACTCAGTTTGTTTAGGTGTTTCCCCAATTCTTTTCAAAAAGACATGTTGGCAAAGTATTAATTAGTTCTATCTTTTTCAATTTACTGGATCCCTATTATATTATATAATGTTGTCATATGCTAATAATCTTAGGGTGCTATGTTTCATGTGTTCTTTAAAGTCATTTATGTACACAAGGAACATTGATTTTGTCTGATTGTACACCATCAAAAATGACTGTTTGTGTGTGGGATGTGAGGAAATCTTCTTATTGAGCGTGAGACTCACGCATTTTCATGCTTATTTGGCGGCATTTTCCTTTGATCTATTGTTTTTTCTCTTTGATCTTTACGATTTTGGCCAAATCTCACGCATTTGCATTATTAAAAGTTGGCAGAGCTGCTTCTATCCATTCTAAGGTGTTGTATTCAATGCCATAATATTTAAGTTTGAAGAGAAGTCTTTTATGAGTTACTTTGTCAAATGCTTTAGCAAAGTCCATCACAATTATATCAGTTTGAATGTTATTGTTGTAGTTTTTTTTCAAGTTCTTGAGTGTATGAATGATACCAACTGAGTTTGACATGACCTTGATGCTCGGAATCCATGTTGAAGGTCGTACAAGATTTTGTTATTTTCCAAGTGATCCATCAGAGAAAACTACAGCATGTAGAGCAGTAAATTCTATACTTTCTGAGATATAGAAATCCGGAAAATAGTAATACAAATGTATATATAGAATACACCAGAGACGAATTTTCTTTCAAAACGGTATATAATTTGACACTCCGCCCCTATTTAAATGATAGCTCTTCCTCGTTTTGTTACTTTATGTAATTTTCATTGTACATGGATTTTTTCATCTGTTTTGTATGCCAGTTTTATTTCAAAGTTTTTTGCAAAAAAAAACATTAACCAAAGAAATATTAAGTATTTTGTAAACTACATATCGGCCACTTACTTTTATTATTTTATTTAATATTATGTATATCGTTTGTTTCACGTGTTTATTTGACAAAACAAAAGTTTATGGTGGGATAAAATTTTGTTGATACTGATCTGAGACTGCCAAAACACAGTGTTATAGTAATCTCAGTACTGATTTATAGATATGTTATGCCTTATTTTCAATTTCTGGTAATGCGATGTCCGTGTTAAATTGAACTGGGTGATCGCTCATAAAAATAACGAACTGCTCATTTTCATTTCTGAGATTATTTCCTTGAACTTTGGTTGCAATTATCTCCTTCAAAAAAATTCAATTTCCTAAACCTTAAGGGAATGGGTATATACAAAAGAAAATACAGTATCATATCAAATGTTTAACTTAAAGTCGTCTTGCAAAATTTCAAAACAAATAACATAAGCTCTAATTAGTATAGAGCTTTTGAACCGACTGCATGCATCAGTACATTATACATTTTAAACAAACAATGCACACAATAAAAAATAAAACACACATATATACATATGCATAACATAATTCACATGCATGGTGAAAAAAGCAAAATAATGCATCAACCAAGATGGATAAGCATATAAAGCTACTACTATCACAAAAATAAAGCATCAGATATAAAGACCCAAATTTTGCATAGCACCTGCCTTACCTCCATGACAAATGTGTTGTTGTCCCTGCAGACAAAGCCCCAAACAACATCGTTTATGTGTGTAGATCACATTACATAAACTGCTTGATAAATGAATTAAGCATTGACAATTCATCTGGAAACTTAACTTATCGGCCGTCCCACTGTCTGTATTACTCTGCTCAGCTCTTAATAAAATTCCATACCACGGCTTTGTGACATCAAATACGTTGACCCGGCCTTAATAACTATGACCCGGACATATCACCTACGTCATAATGAATGAGCCGACGTTGATAAGATTGACCCGAACTTATCAAGTCATTTTGCTGGTGAAACAAAGAAAACACTTGTTTCTATCATGCAAAATATGCAAATACTAAAACCCGATAAATCGAGTATCAGGTTGTCTGCATATTGATATTGTAAAATATCATTATGCAGACAAACTGATAATCGCTACATATACACCAACGACCCTTACCAAGGAGGAAATCCTGGATAATCATAGGTCTGTTCGGCTATTTTCCTTTGGAATGTCAACCAAAGATGAAGAACTGGATTACATAATTGTCCTTACAAACAACGTTATATTGCTGGGTCTTCAAAGTCCTCCTCTTTCTAAATTATTTATATCAATTTTATTAGCAATCAAAGCCGGGCTTCAAAGTTATTGTGAAACTATCTACTCTAGGGGCGGCGTGAATCAGATGTGGATACTAAAAATCGAAAGATCTGTAAGAGTACAAACAATCTAAATCTCTTTCATCATGCAATAGTATTAAAACCTTTGACTTTTCTACCCTTTACACAAGTATTCAAAGCTAAAAGACAATTGAAAGAATTGGTCCTGCTTTGTTTCATAAATAAATGACCAACGTAGAAACAAGTAGCTTGTCTTAGGGAGGGATAATCTTACTTTGTAAAAAATCACTCTGATTTAAACAAATAATTCTCTAAAAATTAAATAATCAAGATGCTTGATTTCTTTGATTCACAACATATTCGTAACGTTTGGAGGACGTGGTTTTCAACAAACAATCGCAATGGGAACCAACTGTACTCCTCTTCTTTCCGACATGTTCCTTTATTCATATGAGGGCGACTTCATACAGGAGCTTCTTAAGAAGTATGAAAGAAGCTAGCTTTATGCTTTAACTTTACATTCCGCTATATAGAGGATGTTCTTTCACTTAATAATTCAAAGTTGGTGACTATGTTGAACTTGAAATAAAAGACACAACAGATACAGTTAAGTCTGCCTCATAGCTTGGCTTACATCTAGAAATAGATAATGAGGGTCGGTTGAGAGCAAAGCTTTAAGACACAAGAGATGATTTTAGTTTCCCAATTGCCAACTTTCCATTTCTTTGTAGCAACATTCCAGCAACACCTGCATATGGAGTATATATCGCCGAGTTGATACGACATTCCGGAGTTTGCATTTCCTATCGTGATTTCCATGATAGAGGTATCTACTTATAAGGAAGCTATTGAAGCAAGAGTTCCATGTGGTAAAGTTGAAATCATCCCTTCGTAAATTTTACGGACGCCATCACGAGTTGGTTGACCGTTATGGAATATCTGTTTCACAGATGACGACAGATATGTTCGAATTGTTGTAACCACAATCCCGTCTTTTCCTTGAATGTGACCTACCGAAATAGACTTCAGTATCACTGTGCTTGTACTTACATGAGCAACACGACAGATGCCACACACGGAGCAGGATCTGCTTACCCTTCCGAGCACCTGAGAACACCCCCGGGTATTGGTGGGGTTCGTGTTGCGCAGTCTTTAGTTTTATATGTTGTATTTTGTGTACTGTTGTGCTTTGTGTACTGTTGTGTGTCTTTTCGTCGTTTTCCGTTTTTTTTTTGCCATGGTATTGTCAGTTTGTTTTGGATTTATGAGTTTGAATATTCCTTTTGTTTTTTTTCGCCTTTTTTCTTATATAGCTATAACCCTACATGCTGCAACTAGAGCAGATAAGCATCCCAAGTAAAATGACATTACAAATCGAGCAGAAAATGAAGTACTATAAAACTATCTACATGCACAGCATTGACATGAACTACCATTCCATGTAGAAATTAATGGCGTACACTGTTTTAAAATTGTTACTCTTTTAGATAGTGCCCTATACCCCCTTCGCCTGGCGTCTCAGGAGATATATAACATTGACGGCTAGGGAATATAAGCCCATATCCCTGTGAAGATCCCGATTAACATATAATATCTGCCGATTGGTCGTATTAAGGATCTTTATAGTGAGGTATAGTAATCCTTGGTCGTATTTAAAAGAATAATTACGTAATTTAAATATTCATCAGACTCTGTTAATGCACAGAAATTTCAATTAATAATTTTAAAAGTTTAAATGGCTATCGAAAACTAACAAGAAAATACTCGGAAGACAGATTGAGAAAAGTAATTACTTGGAACACTAGCTTGTATCGCCAACTCAGTACTCAATAAACTCAATTCTAAACGATACGCCTTGTCATGTTAATAGCTAAAATGGATGTCAGAACTAGAAGAAAATGAGAAGCCATATTGACATCTAATATCATAACTGACGTTAGGCAGAGACATATGTGTATATATGTCTCTGCGTTAGGGTACCCAAATTGCACCTATTTTGACAGGTTTTTTTTTCACCTACGTTTATTTATTATCCTGACAAAAGTTTCCATTCTGTGTTTATTTTGTTGATGTATCCTTATTTACTATATAAAGTTCCACCAATTTAGGGAACATCGCGGCATATAGACTTTCTTTTATCTATTCACCAAAGTCCTACTATCTTTAAGGATCTTTAAGAAGTTTGTAACAAATACACATTTAACAGTGTTAACTATAATATTATAACATTTTCTAACCTTTTTATTTTTTTATTAATATTTGATAAATAAATTTTAACACTGTCGTACGTAATATTCATGTTTTTTTTGTGTAAATTATAAATATGTGTGCTGACAATCATGATAATGCGAGGAAATTGTTCTGAACATTGAAGAATTACGGTGTTGGTTTAACATTCTACCTATTACATATATATATACAGATATAGTATATTGTAATTATGTCTCTGATTAAAGTAATCACAGTGACATATAATATTGTATTTTATGTCTCTGGTAATTACAAATAAATCCATTCGGAGACATAAAAAATAATGAAATGTATAATATTTCTCTGATAAATCTAAGCGCTATTTAGCTATCAACAAAAAAAGATAATTCTTATCTTAAATGCAAATGAATTTGTATTTGTTTATACTATACACCTAAATAATGTTTGATATGAGGACACTTGATTGACAGGCAAACTTGTAGTCTTGTACTCTTATTCAACACTTTAGCGTAATTTTCCGTAATCGTCCAGAATGTTTCTATAATTAGTCTGTGCTCAGTGATCCGAGTTGACCTTTTGATGTCTGCTACAGTATACAGAATCAGCATGTCTGGAAAATCTTTATCGTTTTCCTTTAAATTATATAAAAGTCTGACTAAAAACAGTAAACCTTTATTGACAAAACGATTGTTCCAAACATGCAACAGGTAAATATTTTCTCGTTTTGATAAAAAGCTTATTTTCAGGAGATGAACGTTGAAAAATTTCCATGAATTTTTACCGCAACAGAAATGTAACTTGACCTGCATATGGAACCAATATTTGGAAACTTGAATACTGTCGGGCAAATTTCTGATTGGTTTTGTTTATGTATTCAATCAAGCCAGTAGTAATAAAGTAAACTATAGAGGTATTCTCCCTTTTTAATTTTTACCGTTACCAAAACCCCTTATCTAAAGGACACAAAAAGGGGGAATTTAAGGCATCAGACTGCTTTCTCTGTTGAGAGTCCCCTAAACATCCAAGTCTAAGATTTGAGACTGAAAGATATGCAGGAGGCAAATTTCCTCTCTACTTTCACTTGGGCCAAATCACTGTTTTCAATTCAACAAGGATTTGTATACTATACAAATCCTTGAATTCAACAATCAATTTTCCACATTTTGATGATGTTTAACTTATTTTAATACATATGAGACCACTTTGATAGTTAACTTTTTAAAAGAAAACAGCAGAATAATTCTCATTAAAAAATACCACATATCCAGGGATCTCCATTACCTGTTTTAAGATGGCACACCGCTATCCTCAAATGATCCCCGCTACATTAAATTATTTTCTGCCATTGTTAAATTTTCTTCTGCAACAATCAAAAGATCCCCATCATCGTTAAATTATCTTCAGCCATCATCAAATGATTCCCGCCATAGTTAAATAACTGTCCTATGATTGAAATTGTAGTTAAAATTTGTTTTCGTTTCGCTAGCTGCCTCCATTTTTGTTAGCAATTTTAATCCAAAGGTTTCTGCTGATTACTGTTTTAATTCCTTGTGGGGTATCCCGCTTATGCTTGCTAATCACTTGTACAGTAATATTGACAGGAGAAAACATTGACCAAGATAGAGGATTAATTGCAATATTTAATTATTTTTTAGCAAATTCCACAGAAATTAAGATTGAAAATAAAATTTGAATTCAATTACAAAAAAAAATGGTTTAACAAGATGAACACTTGCTTTTATTGACTTACACAATCAGCATCCCCCTTTTTGAACATAATTACATGCAAAATAACACAAGTTTCAAAAATTATCAATCCCTTTATAAGTGTAAAAATAAATACACGATTATAAACTGCAACTGTATAATCCGAAGAAATTTTGTATTGTAATTCAGAATTCATTTAGTTGTTTACAATCAAATTCAATATCTTTGTTTAGTTTCAACAAAAATTGAATTCTTGTGGTTCTTCAATAATCCTCCAAGATTATAAGCATTTAAGGGAAAAAACTCAAAAACAAATAACGTCATATCGAAACCTATCCATTAGACAACAAGAAGTTGGTGTATTCTTATAAAGCTTTGCAGTCACTTTGAATGATCAATCTCTTATTAGTTTACAGGCCAAGTTTATGTCATCTGAAATTTTTAAAAAGTAAAGCTAGTTATTATATATTAGTACATCTGTCTGCAGAACACGGTTTTTGCAAAGAAATCACTTACTTTTAACTAGTAAAATATTATTTTGGTAAATTAGTATATAAATTTGCCTTGATCCAGTAAACATAACCTATACCTTATTGTAATGACACAGAATTTAAAGCGTGTTTTGTTATGTTTTTAGTCCCCTACCGACGAAGTCGAAGGGGACTTTAGGTTTGCACTCCGTCTGTCTGTCCGTCTGTCAGTCCTGTCAGTCCGGCAAATCAGCTTTCCACACTTTTTTTCTTCAGGCTTGAAGATATTGATTTGATATTTGGTATATTGTTTTATCATGACAAAGTACAGATCAAGTTCGAATTTTGTTCCGGTCTGATAATTTAGTCCAGAGTTATGGACCATAACTCTGGACCATATCTAATGTTAGAGTACTATGTTAAACCATATTTCTGTACAAAGGGAGATAACTCATTTTTTAAAAGACATTCATTGTTAAATTATTTGAAGAATTTTTTAGCAGGTTTGTTTGTCATTTAGTATAAACTAATTTTCTGAATGCTATATATATATAAAGAAAAATTTATGAAGAGAAATCCTTTAATTAGATAATAATCTATTTTTATTAATGTATATATTTCAATTCATTACATTGTGTAGATAAATGTTGTTGACATTTTTTAGATAAGTTACAAATCTATACTAGTTTGTGACAAATGAAAGAAAAAATATTTGGAACTATTAATTATATTTGATTATAATTTGAAAATAGATATACACGGTATTACATCATATCTAATTTTAGAGAACTATTAAACATATCTAATGTTTTTTTCACTCATATAATCAGTTTTCCACACTGTTTTTAGTCATGCTTGAAGATATTGACATGATATTTAGTTTTTGTTTACACCATGACAAGTTATAGAACAAGTTAGCATTTTGTTCCAGTAAAACAAATTTTTACCCGGTAGGGGACTATGTATTGCCATGCAATACTCTCAGAATGCTTGTTTTTTCAGACTTTCTTCTGCTAAAATTATTAATGGTGTAGCGCTTGCCAAAGAAATAAAAGATGAAGTTAAGAAAGAAATTGATGAAGTAGTGGCAGGTGGAAAAAGAAGACCAAAGTTAATTGTTATAAGAGTAGGGGAAGATCCAGCCAGTAAGACTTATGTGAAAAACAAAATAAAGGCATGTGAATATACAGGTAATAACTTATGTAGTTGGGTTTCTGGCTCTTTGACTGTTAACCAGCAACTTTTTTTTATTCATTATGCAAATTGTATCTTTAATAGAAGTTTCAATGTTTCAAACTTACCCTCACATATAATTTTTCTTTAAAATCTTACATAAACATGATAAAACCTTTCCGCAAAAAAGTTGATCATTGATTTATAAAATTATTTTTTAATGAAATATTACAGAAATCAATAAATAAGAAGAAACAAGAGAAAACAAAGGATATGGGGTATCCATCCATGACACATAATCAGTACATGCACTGCAAAAAACACAAACAGCAAAGGAAGAGCGCTTTTATTGCTGTTTTTAATCTCAAAGTAACAGTGAGGCTTTTAACACTGATCATCATTTTACCGTGTTTTTTCAATTTACTGAATATATATATTGATTGTATAGAAATAAATAGATATAAAAACATTCAGTCAAAAAATAGCTGTAGGTGTATGTGTATTGTAATTCTCATTTCATTTCAGAATTTCTTGCTATTAGCATGATTAGCTTTCTTTATTTACATTTTAGAAGATTTCAAAAATAAATACTTACATTTTTGTCGAGCCTTCGACTTTTGTCGAAAAAGGCGAGACATAGCGATCCTACATTCCGTCGGCGTTGTCGTCGGCGGCGTCCACAAATATTCACTCTGTGGTTAAAGTTTTTGAAATTTTAATAACTTTCTCAAACTATCCTGGATTTCTACCAAACTTAGACAGAAGCTTGTTTATGATCATAAGATAGTACCCAGAAGTAAATTTTGCAAAAAAAAATTCCATTTTTTTCGTATTTTACTTATAAATGGACTTAGTTTTTCTGCCAGGAAACATTACATTCACTCTGTGGTTATTGTTTTTGAATTTTAATAACTTTCTTTAACTATCCTAGATTTCTACCAAACTTGGAAAGAAGCTTGTTTATGATTATAAGATAGTATCCAGAAGTAAATTTTGCCAAAAAAAATTCCATTTTTTCCGTGTTTTGCTTATAAATGGACTTAGTTTTTCTGCCAGGAAACATTACATTCACTCTGTGGTTAAAGTTTTTGAAATTTTGATAACTTTCTTAAACTATCCTGGATTTGTACCAAACTTAGAAAGAAGCTTGTTTATGATCATAAGATAGTATCCAGAAGTAAATTTTGCAAAAAAAAAAATCCATTTTTTCTGTATTTTACTTATAAATGGACTTAGTTTTTCTGCCAGTTAACATTACATTCACTCTGTGGTTAAAGTTTTTAAAATTTTAACAACTTTCTTTAACTATCCTGGATTTGTACCAAACATGGACAGAAGCTTGTTTATGATTAAAAGCTAGTATCTAGAAGGAAATTTTTTTAAAATTTAATTCCATTTTTTCCGTATTTTACTTATAAATGGACTTAGTTTTTCTTCCAGTTAACATTACATACAGTCTGCAGTTTAAGTTTTTAAACATTTATTAGATTCATAAACTATCCTGAATTTTTACCAAAATTGGACAGAAGCTACTTACAATCAAAAGATAGTATAGAGAGGAATATTTTTATTAATTTTTTTCCTCATTTTTGTTGAGTCTGCGATTAACAGCAAAAGTAGGCGAGACACTGGGTTCCGTGGAACCCCTTACAATTTTTTGTTTTTAAAGAAGCAAATAAAATATTTTCTAAGTTCCAAGAAAATTTCAGACACTTTCCAAACTCAACAGTATCTTAAATTGGCAAACCCTTAAATATTCTACAAGGATTTTTGAAGGCCAGTCCAGGAACTCGTTATTTTTAACCATGGCGAGTCCAACAGTAAGAAGATGAAATTGTATTGCTATATAATTTATTATTTCAATCCAAATGACAAAAAGAGCAAGGAAAAGAAATCAAATTTAGATTATTTTCATTTTTTTAATATAAAATGATGATAGCAGTTGATACAACATATTACAATCTTAAAAAGCTTCTTTGGACTCACCAATTTTAAAAAGTCCAGAAAGATTTTCATGAGTCCTTACTAGTGAGAACCCTGACAATAACACTTAGTTTGTAGGACAGTCAAGCAAAGTCATCAAACTACCTTAAGTGTATCTAAACTATCAAGTACACATACAATGACATAGTTCACCAACAAAAATCATGTCAAAGTCAGCTAAAATATTAAATAAATGTTATTAGTTAAGGTTGTAAAACTATACAATTAATCACCAACCCTACGACCCAGGCTAGTAAAAGTGGTCTCGGGTAGTAAAGATTTCCTTAAAGAGTACTCGCAAGCCTTTTAAAGTCTAAGAAATTAAATGAAAGCTTCATTGTCAGACTTCTAAATCAAAACGTTTATCCCATAGGCGGATCCAGGGGGGGGGGGGGGGGGGGGGGGGGGGGGCAGGCCCTCCCTTTCGTCGGAAAAATTTGGTTGATTATATAGGGAATCACTGAAGCATGACTGGAGCAGGCCCCCCCTTAGGTCAGTCAGCGGGCCCCCCCTTATGAAAAGTTCTGGATCTGCCACTGTATCCTGACGATTGGATTAGAAATATTTGTACTTTTGAATTGAATACACATAATGATAATGACCTGTACCAGGCCAAGAGCCTGTAGTCTAATACTTTTGGTTGGTAAATATCTGCTACACCTTTTTATACCAACATCGGGACATTGGTTTTCTTTTTCAAATTTTTTCACATTTATTATCCTAGGGCTTTTTGATAGCTAACTATAAAGTATCGGTTTTACTCATTGTTAAAGGCTGAACAGTGACTTGTAGTCCATCGTTTTACTTTGGTCTTTGATGGATAGTTGTCCCGTTTTCACTCATACTACATCTCCATATTTTTTTATTAATGGTGAAAATCATACATTAAGCATTTTAAGTAACCATATCTTCATAGAGTTTCTTAATTTACAGGTATCGAAAGTGAAAGTATAACCTTACCGACGACAGTAAGTGAAGATGAACTGTTGAACCTTATTAATAAACAAAACAATGACGATAGTGTAGATGGCATTCTTGTGCAGCTTCCTGTACCAGAACACATTACAGAGAGAAAAGTATGTAATGCTGTCACACCCAGTAAAGATGTGGATGGTTTTAATGTGATAAATGTTGGACGATTATGTTCGGACCAGATGACCTTTATTCCAGCAACACCAGCAGGTGTAATGGAAGTTATACGAAGAACAGGTAAAATTAAGAAAGGGAGATCATATGAAGTCACTTTTCAATCTATGCACAAATTGTCTAGAGTTATAGGAGTAAAAAAGAAATTTCTAGAGGTTTAATATTGATGTGTAAATTAAGAGATAACTGTATTGTATTTGAAGCTTTGCAGATGTCCATCAGTAGTTTTACTGTCGCAAATTGAGTTTACCTGGCGACACATAGCAGAGATAGGTAAACGGATATACATGACAGTAAAACTACCGATGAACGTCCGCATGGCTTCAAATACAATACAGTTTTCTCTATTGTAATGCAAAAGAAACAAATCATTCAATTTAAGTCATTATTTCAGTGTAAAATTTTCATTAAACAAAAATTCTGCGAAATGATGTTATCTTCTTTGGCAATTAAACTAGGTGACGTCATAGGTATGCTTCCGGTGTCAAACGTAAACACCGGATGTATCTTGTCTGCCTCAGAATGTAATGAAATTTGATAAAAAGAAGATCAAAATGTGAGTTTTTTTGCCTATTATGGGAGACATTACATTGTCAATACATTCCGAAATCAAAATGTCAGCTTCCCTTAGTTACAGACTGGCAGATAAAGAATTTTACGCCGATTGTCATCCAATCAGAACCATTGATACAAACGAATTGCATTAGAATTGGGCCTATGCACTCACAAACTCAATAAGTGTAAAGATCTCTCATTCGGTTTGATAGTGCATTAGCCCAGTTTACACATCAATAGTCTCTAGGAAAATGTGTTTAGTCCTTATTATTCTCCACCAAAACATTTGTTTATTTTTTCTTTAAATTTCACTGATTGTGTATCGCTTTAAGATTATAGCACAATGAAATTGACACAGTGTTTACATAGATTACAAAAGTAGTTCTGGAAAATTGTTCTATCAAGTGTAAACCAATTAAAGTAATTCAAACAGAGCAATTGCATTCAAGTATTTGTGGATATGCCAATCATATAAGAATAAGGATTATTTAGAGCCTTAATATATTTGTCTGTATTGTTTTAACTTAATATATTTGTCTGTATTGTTTTAACCTAATATATTTGTCTGTATTGAATTAACTTAATATATTTGTCTGTATTGTTTTAACCTAATATATTTGTCTGTATTGAATTAACTTAATATATTTTTCTGTATTGTTCATTTATTGTCTTCCCATTCTGGTGGGTTTTTTATGTTGTTGGGTTTGCGTGCGATTGTAGACCCGTAATCTTCTTTATATATACCAAAATAACATTATAAATATGATAAATAGATAGTTATGACTATTTCTTAATGCAGGTATAGAAACTTTTGGGAAGAATGCAGTTGTTTGTGGGAGATCTAAAAATGTTGGCATGCCATGTGCCATGTTGTTACATGCTGATGGCAAATATGAGACACAAGCAGGTATGTACTACTACATGTACAATATGAGTATTTACTACTAACACCTATAATGTTTGTTGTAAAGGTACAGAATTAATGTATGTAGCAGTGACCTTATTGTGCAGAATTTCAGAATTTCAAGGGATCTACCAGGGATCAAATTAGCAGATAGTTGCATGAGATTGGCAAATGTGTTATTTCTAATACAAGTGATTGTCAAATTTCTATAGCAGAATCAGGTGGACAAATAGTCAAGCTAAATATCTATTTATATTCCCCTTTCCAGATTTGGGTTGGACATAGTTTTAAACAAAAATTAGATGTTTAATTTTCTTTCAGACAAGGTGAACCCCATTTACATAAATCAATAAACAGCTTGGCTATTGCATAATCTGCCATGTGGCAAACATAATTGTCTTGAATATCTATACCATGCTGGTTATAATATACTGTAAATTCAGAAATTATTGGGATAGTTGGACAAAAGACACAAATGCGAGTTTTATTATTTAGATTTCAGGAATTGCTGTATACAAATAATACTATTAAAATTTAAAATGTCAGTTTTTTTATTTTTGCAATACATGTACCAATCTCATCTCAATTTTTGCAATAATAAAATCATCACAAAAATTTCTGAATCTCCAGTATTTAACGTAAAGTATTTATGATGTGACATGTCTAAATTTAATCTCCTGTGTACTGAATATTAAGTTTTGAAAGTATTCTATAAATGACTTTCTTACAAATTATTTTCCAACAGGTGCCCCCATAAAACAGATTATATTTACTATAAAGCTAATAATACAGAGTTCTTGAGAAGTGGTGGTCTTAAGGTTTTGACCATTGAAATTTTGCAAAGGACTGACACAATTTTGGTATTTTGCAATAGAAATAATAGTGAGGACCAGCAGATTTTCTTCAAGTACTTCCAGTGAAAAAAAGATTTCGAGATCTCCAAAATGGTCTAATTAAAAGCATTTTATTTTTGACTAAAAACATCAGATGTTTACTGTGTGTGTATCTCCTACTGCTTGATCCTTGGTGACAGTTGAAATGGTACATTAACATTTATTTCTCTTCTTTTAGGTGATGCCACAGTGACTATGTGCCACAGATATACACCTCCAGAACAGTTACCAGTATTTACCAAGACCGCAGATATTTTGGTGGTGGCCTGTGGAATACCTAAGTTGATAACTGCAGATATGGTGAAAGAAGGTGCAGCTGTGATAGATATTGGTATAAATAGAATTGTGGATGAAAAAACTGGAAAGACTAGGCTAGTTGGAGATGTTGATTTTGAAGGTAATATAATAGATTTTGATTACTGGTAGATATTTTTTTTGAAGGAGTTGGATAGTTTTATCTGTTTAGAGGCAAAGAAAGATTATTCAGTGCTGTTTATTATGGTTTTACACCTTTAAATATCTACACATTTAAGGTGGTACCTAACACTACAGGGAGATAAATCTGTAAAAATCAGCTTAACTTTTTAATAACGTTGTATTGTAAAGGAAATATTAAGCTTCTCAATGATCAAAATTAGTGTTTGTCAAACTGCTATATAACCAATGAAATTTTTCTGATAAAGTGGTTGGTTCAAATTTTTTGAAATTTTAATATTTTTGTCAAAGGGTCAAAGTAAACATTTTGTCGAAATTTTATGAAATTTAAATGAGCCAAATTAATAGTAGTCAAGGTGTTGGGTACCACCTTAAATATTTTAATGGTGATACAATTTATTGTTGTTGGGTATCCACTAAGATTTGACAAGTAACTCTGTTGCATATATATATAACGTAAAGTAGTTTGCTATGACATAAATAGAATAATCTTTATTTCAAGAGGACAACCTCATTAGCCAAAGCTTATCCTCCTGAGGGTCCTCAAAACAACTTTCATATATGTAAATAAGAAGATGTGGTATGAGTGCCAGTGAGACAACTCTCCATCCAAGTCACGATGTGTAAAAAGTAAACAATTATAGGTTAAAGTACGGCCTTCAACACGGTGCCTTGGCTCACACCAAACAGCAAGCTATAAAGGGCCCCAATACATGAATTATACCTGTACAACATAAGATAAAATTACCTTATATAAACATATTTAAACTTGTACAGCAAATGCTTCAACATATTATTCACAAACTAATTGAAAAAAAAAATAATAACATTTATCTTAAACTATCTAAAAGATTTCACTTCTGAAGGAAAATTCTTCCATATTTTTGCCCCAGAGTACATTGATGTTTTCTTCATAAAATTGTTGCAGGCAGGTTGTACAGTATAAGACAAAAATACTACTGAATAAAACCAGAAAAGACACTTAAAGGTCTTCATAATAAACAAGTGTCTGGATCATATGTAAACTTTATAATCACCTGAGTCTAGATATGTTGTAAATAAACAGGGTCAATATTGTCAAAACATAAATTACAAGAAATTTAACTTTTGTAATTATGGTAAACATTTGATGAAATACAAAATATACAAGCTCGGACTCATTCCAATAGGTTGTTATTCCTGCCTTCTTATTATTGACTTAGATAAGAGAGTCTCATTTATTCCTCCCATAATTCTTTTTAAAAAAACATACTTATTTTTACTTTTTATTCATTTTCCAAACGATGGGACGCAAGACGTACAAAAAAATTGAATAAAATAGAATTACATGAAAGGAGGCAATGAAGTTCATATGAATATCAGTTAACATTATTGCTTGATTTACAGAAGTAGCCAAGAAGGCCAGTTACATCACACCAGTGCCAGGGGGTATGGGACCAATGACTGTAGCTATGTTGATGAAGAATACCATGATGGCTTACAAAAAAGAGATTAACTTTGATTGATGATAGCTAGAATCTAAGTGCTTTCTATCCGTAAGATATATTGATTTGATTTGTAATTATTCAATATCTTTACAAGATAAAAGGAAAAGTTATGAGTTTGTGGTACATTACATTAAAATTGAATATAATTCATGATTTTTTATTATACAGGATGTTGGTTTTGACAAAAGGACCCCCCCCCCCCTTTTTTTTTTAGTTTCAATATTATAGAAGGTGTCTTTTTCCAAGAAATTATATTCTCTCAAAAAAGTATTTGATGAAATATTAATTTTCTAATTTTTAGTTGAGAGAGACCAGTAAGTTCTTATATGAGTTTATATTGAAGATACAGAGAATTACTATGAGTAGGGAAAATTTCACATCCAATGGAGCACAGCATTACATGACATCATAATCAGGGCTTCCAAAATTATTTTTAGCCAGCCGGACATTTTATATATTATCCCGATTTTAATACTTAAGACTAAATAAACAAAAGGCAATTATGGTAATCAGTTGCCGAGTTGGCCATCCCAGTGATTGACATTAAAAAGAAACGATATTAAACTTTCTTTGATTCAAATTCGAAGTTCTGACGTAAACTGGCAGTGCATCATTTGAAGTGTGCAACATCAGCGTACTTATATCTGCCTTAGACTCTTTATTTGTGAAAAAAAACGTTGTCAAAAACTTTACTTTCGTTTTTAAATCTAATACCGGATGTTATCTTGACAATGCTAAAACATGAACCAGAGACAGATACGTAAATTCGGTGTACGTTTGCAAAGCATGAAAGAGTGTAAGTAGCTCATTCTTGTGTATAATTTGGAGTTTAGTATGACGTCCATTATCACTGAACTAGTATACATATTTGTTTAGGGGCCAGCTGAAGGACACTTCCGGGTGCGGGAGTTTCTCGCTGCATTGAAGACCCATTGGTGGCCTTCAGCTGTTGTCTGCTCTATGGTCGGGTTGTTGTCTCTTTGACACATTCCCCATTTCCATTCTCAATTTTATACGTTATTTCTTCAAGAAAATTATCGAAATAAACGTGAGATAAAGGTATCAATGACAATTTAAGCACTTTATGAAGAAATAAGAATGCATAATTAAATTTCACACCTGCGCACATGCGCACACGTGTTATTGTTCAAACAGAGTCATGTCTCTGGTTCAAACAACGTGGTTATGACGATTTTTCATTTTCACCTTTTTAATTTTTTCATCAAATCATATTTGTTAACGTTTTTCTGATAATTTAAATCTTTTTGACTAAATTAATTAGATGCAAACCGCTGAAATGTAAGAAAATAACTTTGAATAGACTGATCAATGTCCGGTTCAAAATAGTTTACCTGTCACCTGAACAGGTAAATTTCAGCTGTTCGACAACTAATTAGCCTTGTTTAAATGAGAAGGTATTAAAGAAGGGTTGTTTTGATAGTACTTAATGATCATGTCACTTTTATGACCAGAAATGTGTGGCTGTTAAAGGCAAAAGGTTGAGTCAAAAAGATCGCGAGTTATGTTAAAATGACCGTCTCTTAAGAAAGCCTTGAAAACTAAAAAGTAGATGACCGTTTCGTGCTTTGCCCAGCCGCACTTTTACCGGACATTATACAACTGTCTGGAATATATGACTGTATTGGAAGCCTTGATCAAAATATAAAATTTCTTGCTTGAGTTGCAGATATTCAATCTTCAATTTTAAACAATTACAAGTGTTTAGTTCTTTTGTAAAACCAATATTTCAAATTGTTGATCCTTAGCGCCAACATAGAAAACTTGTTTTAGTGATGTATTATTATTTGTATTTGCAATTAATTCATCTACAAATAAAATCTCATTTGAACAATTGGCCCATAGAATATTATAGTAGTTGCATTTACCTCCTATGGAACATTTTCCTTATTTATGGAAAAATGTATAATTTTCATTTCAGATTAATGGCAGCTGGAAAGAGAAGAGTCTCGTCTTATGAAATTACTGGCCACATTATTTACATGCATTATTTACATATTTAACATTGTTAAAGACTTTGATTTTTAAGTTTTTTGTTATGACACATTTTGTTATCATTGTAAAATACCATTTTCATGATTATAAGCTTTTATAACTTTGAAGTGCTTGAGATATTTCACTTGGTACTTGGTTGCTTTTCTTTTGCTATATTGGAAATTACTGTTATTTTATTACATTTTTTGTTGTTGAATTTTTTTTTTTTTTTTTTGGGTGCTAGATTTTGAATTAAATGAAGTTATTATTTGATTTCTTAAAACAGTATACCTGGATATATACATTTTCTGGAAAGATTTTATGAATCAGGTTGCCAGTTGAACTCTCTTTCTTATTTTCCTTTATCAATTTAATCCTTATAACTGTAAATAGGAAGGTAAAACAACTCACTTTGAAGGCCTAGATAATTAATGTTTAGTAGCATGAATCAGATTTCAAACAAAAATGTAACTTTTCTACAGGTGAGATTTCAGTTTTTGTATGAAATCTTGTTTTGAAAAACACTTTTTACATACAGATTTTTTTTTATTTCATGTCTAAATCCAGAGCTATGACTTGGTTGTTTTATTGGTATAAGACACAAAATGATACTGAATATAGCATAATAATATGCCAAGACAAGTGTGTATAAAGTTTTTGTTAGTGGACAGTTATTTAAAGAGTCTTTGATGTAATATATGTTATAAATAGTCAAAGAGACAACATTTTTAATAACATATTTCAAGTTTGTCAGGTGTTAGATCATGCGTTGACAAGTGTTTGATCATTTAGATGTTTTTACCAGAGATTTCATTGTGGTTTGAAACTAGTTTTTTTTACAGTGGTTTGAAAATGTGTAATCATTTTATTTCAAGTTTTCATTCATCAAAGTATCATGAAAATATTTGTTTTAATTTTTGCATTTCTCAACATAGAGACCTGTTCATTTTAATAGAAAAGAGGCAGAAACTTGAATTGTATGCACTGCGGTTTATTGAAATTTTTTAGTGCAAATACACATGTATAGAATTGAATATTTTTTTTATTAATAAATTCATTATAAGAATATGTTTATTTTACACTGAAATGAAAATATTTATGTTCTACATCTGTTTGAAACTAGTGAAATAAGTAAGAAAAGTCATACAATGTTTCCATATTCATCAAATCCAATTTTTAAAGTGATTGCTTAGGGTGTCAACGTATATTTGTTCTGCCTAACAGAAGTTCCACTGGAAACTTTGTTATATACAATGTCATAATATCTGTTCCTGTTGGAACAAATATTCTATACCATTTATTCCGTTAGGAACATTTACTGTAATATTTATTCCAGTGGAAATAATATTCCAGAATATTGTTTCCATTTGAACTTCTATTCCGTGACAAGGGTATTGATTTTTTGAAAATTCAACAAAAAAGGGAGGAGAAATGTTGTATTCCATGTAAAATGATGATAGAAAGGTCCTCATCATTTATAGGTAATAAGTCAAATATTGTCAATCATTTTCTTGAAACTGACGAAATCATTCAGGATTTCTCTTTTATGCATGCTATTAAAATAAGTAGTTTTGAATACCAAAGACTCATGTTATGTCAACCAATGAAAGTCTTCAGAACAACAAGTACAAGTGGATTTATTAAAGAGTAAACAATGTGCCATGAAAAGTATAATCAGCAGGAATTATAGGAGAAAACATTTGATAAATTTACATTACAATAGGAAGTGTTTAACGTTGTCCACAGTAACTAACTGCTGTACTGTAAGTCAGATGATTTGAAAAATTTAGTAATACTCAGGTTTTTATGATAGAACAAATGTATGCATATCTTTATAGCTCACTGGGGGGCCATGTGAGCTTATACCATCACTTGGCGTCCGTCGTCATCCGTGGTCTGTCGTCGCCTGTTGTCGTCTGTCATCGTAAACTATTTAAAAAATCTTCTCCTCTGAAACTACTGGGCCAATTACCTTCAAACTTTAACTAAATGTTCCTTAGGGTATCTTGTGTATAAATTGTATCCGAAGTTTGAATCCATCGACAAACATGGCCGCCATGGCTAAAAATAAAACATAAGGGTCAAATGCAGTTTTTGGCTTATATCTCAAAAACTAAATCTGTTACAGCAAATGTGACTGGGGTAAAATTGTTTAATTGGTCAAGATCTATCAGCCCTGAAATTTTCAGACGAATCGAACAACCCGTTGTTGGGTTGCTGCCACCGAATTGGTAGTTTTAACAAAATTTTGCAGTTTTTTGTTATTATTTTGAATATTATTATAGATATATATAAACTGTAAGCAGCAATAATGTTCAGCAAAGTAAGATCTACAAAAAAGTTAATATGACCATAATTGTCAATTGACCCCTTAAGGAGTTATTGCCCTTTAAAGACAATTTTACACAATTTGTTCATCAAGTTTGCTAACATTTAAAAATCTTCTCCTCTGAAATACAGGTGAGCGGTTCAGGCTCTTGAGAGCCTCTTGTTTTAAATTATTACACAGATGGTATTTAAGCAGGATCTGTAAATTTTTATATGTATTTATTTTGATGCGGAGTTTGTTTTTTTTGTCTTTAGTCAATATCCGTCTTTCATTGTAAGCTAAACTGCTTTACATATCATGAATAATGTTATAGAACACAGATGATTTTTAGTATTGCAAAACTGTTTAGGCAAGAAGCAAATGAAATCTGTGTTTCTTAGATTTCATTTATTTGCATGACTGTGCAGTTGATTGTCTCTCATGTTCACAAAAAATTATAAGTCTGGTGTCTTTGATTAGTTTTCACTAATGTTCTTTTAGTTTCTGGTAGTTACTGTGAATTCATTATTATTTGTGGAACACAGATTTTTGGGGGATTTCATTGGTATATTTAAACCACAGATTTACATGTTCAACACAGTACAAACTTTCTATATGCTTGTATGCAGACTTTGGTAAATCAATGAAATATGTATCCTTAAAATACAAGCTTTTGAAAGTCTGACAAGAAAATTGGTATCCACGAAAATAAATGAATCCACAGTATTTTAATGTGTAAATATTATTAGGTATGATTTAAGTAAAGTTCAAAATTTTCAAAATTTAATCATTTTGATTGTAAAATAGATGATTCTTCTCCCCTCCCCAAATTACCTTATTGTCAAAATTACATAAGCTTTACATATGATGGGTTATATTAACTAAAGAAAAGAGGCCAGTTAAGATGTAGATAAAACGTCTGTAGGGTTATTAGACCTGGTGCTGAATATTTATTGCCTTGTTCCTGCCTTGTAATTTTGATATCATCTGTCAATGTAAACATTTCTTTCCACAGTGTTGGTATTCCCTGAATGACATATTGATTGATGTACAACATGTCCAGGTATGATAAGGTTGTTGTGTTTAAGACTTAATCTGGTGATTTTTTTTATTTCAATAGATGATAGTTGCACGGAAGTTTTGTTTCATAGTATAATGTTGATTCATTATTATTAGTTGGGTACCAATTTTCATGGTTTTCGTGGGTATAGGTGAATTACAATTTTAAGTGTTCAACAAAGTGGAAATTTCTGATAGCCTCGTATGCAAACTGCGACAAAACCAGTAAATCAAGTATCCAGGAAATACAATATTTCTTCAATCCTGGAAAATTGGTACCCATGAACATAATTGGATCCAAATTACTTAGTATTTTATGAATTTTTACCTGTTTTAACCTAATATTTTACTTTCTTGTGTTGTACTCAGCAGAGAATCTCATTAACAAGTTGAAATTTACCATTACTGAGATACTGTCATTTGTATTGTATTTATGAATGAGCCACTTTGTTTATGACACAGTGCCAGACTGTGCCTTATATATTGTATTTTGATATAACTCTCTTGATTGTTAAATGCTTATTGGGAAGGGGTTGCTAATTTTATTTTAAAAAATTGAGTAATTTTTGTTCCGCAGTAGGTAATGGTAATTTTGAACTTAGTATATTGATACCAGTGATTTAACTATAGTATATACAATTATTTTGTTGTTAGAAATATTCATTTTTATATCATTCCAAATTGGCAGACACAGATCCAGCCATTTTGAAAAGGGGGGTTCCAACCCCCGGAACACCATGAAATGTTCACATGATTAAAAAAAAAATAAAAAAAGGGGGAGGGTCCAACTCTGGGACCACCCCTTGATCCGCCAATGGTTGCCATTCATTTCTGGAATATGAATGAGTTTTTTTCTATTCATCATATTTATCTAATTATACAAAATTCCTAAATATATATGCCATTGAAAAGCAGAGGTAGAAAAATGTTGCTGCCATGGCTTCCTTTGTCAAGAAATAGTTAAGAAAAATAAAATGTCTCTAACTGCTTTACAGGTTAAACTAAAATGTCTGCCCAAAAGGAAAATATCTCTTAAGAGATTATAATGCCCAAAAGGGAAATAACTCCTAGTGATTTAAGTTCCTAAATATATCTACATGATATTATATAATTGTATAATGCTATTCATCAAGGATTTCATGGAAGCCTTAGTGACCTTGAATTGTCATAAATTGAATACACAATGTAGGCGTACTTTCTGTTACTACCTCTATTTTATGGAACACATTATGTTTAATTATACATGTAAATCAGTGACCCTTGAATTAAGAATGATTTGTAATGAATATTGTAACTTACACTTAAATTCAAGGCGATTATGAAATAAAATATTTGTAAAATGCAGAGAATCTAGTAATGCACAAATTAATTTTGTATTTGTTAACAGTGTACTCAAAATTTATGTATATGAATTTTTTATGAACATTTTTGAATTATTGAATTTTAATTTACTGTAATAAATCTGTAATAAACCAATATGATATATATAATTTTATGGCAGGAAAGAAACATACATATAAGCTATAAAAAAAAAAATTTAATCAAAATTGTTTTGATGGTAATTATCTTTATTGTTAAAATTTGAATTTAAAATAAAAATAACTATTTAAATTATTCCACTTAATTTTTGTTTTTTTGTGCAAACTTTACATTCAAGATTTACTTTCATTTCATTTGTTACTCCAAAAAAGTAGAAGATTTTCAGGTGAATTAATCAAAATAAAAAAAAACAACAGTATTTTATTATATTATGAATGTATAGAATTATGAATGACTTTAAATGGCACTGATTTTTTTCATTCCTTGAAAGGGTATAAATACTTGTTGAAACTAAAGATAAAATTGTTATCTTAATGGTAGATTTAGGACTTGAGTGCATGAACATTGATAAACACTCTAATTATGACCCCAATAGGTTCAGTTGTTGTAGCCGTATGTTGTCTAAATTTTAATAAACAATTGAAATGAAATATCCAGAAACTAATCTCAATTCTAGCATAAAAACTGCTAAAATGCAAAATTTTAAACAAACAGTGAATTTTACATCCATATATTTTAACTGTTTTATTTTAAACAATTTATTCATGAATAAAAAAGGATAACTAAAAAGCTTAACTTAGACTGCAACATAAATACACAAATTTGCCAAAAAAGGTTATCTAGAGGTCAATAGAAAGTTATCTTACACTTTATGCTATGAAAAATATAATGTATATATGTTTCATCCACATATCAGCATTAGTACATAAATTTACTGAATGAGTTTGTTTTATCTTGTATTTGCTATATTTCACACAGAAAATGCTGTAGATATTTTTAGAATAAAAAATTTTGAAAACTTATTTGGAACATGGGAAAGGAGTATTTGATCTGTTCTGATTTATAGAGTCCACAACAATGTCACAGTAAATAAAGAAACTGATAATGGTTTGTCATAGAATTATTGTTAAGTATTAGATTTGTTTTGTTTTGTAGCAAATTTATTAAATATCTAGTCTCATTTAAAATTGTGTGCATGTTTTGTACTATGTTATGTCTGTTATTGTAAAATTTAAAACATAAACAGGCTAATATAAAACAATTGTTATGAACATGTTAAGAATAATGCAGGGGTATTAGAATTGGATAATTTGAAGAAGAAAACAGTGTACAAATGTAGGTTCAGTGTCATACTTAGCCACATTTAATATGAAAAAGTGACAACTATTTCATTGCCCAAAATTCTTTAAGGTTTCAATCTATAAAATATTGATAAAAAAACTGTGTCATTCTTTCTTTCTATGAGTTTGACTGTCCCTCTGGTATCTTTCGTCCCTCATTTTTCCTATCTAGTCAGTTATTAAAGTAGCTCTTAGTCTTTCTAAAATTAGATTATCTCTAGAAAATGAGGAGAGAATCAATGAAAGTAAGCATATTGATAGGCTAGCTTAAAATTCTTAATTTAACCATTGGCAAGTATGAAACCTACCAACTTCTCATCCATATATAATTTTTAATAATCTACCTGTAATTAAAAATTTATAAAATAAAAATGTCGAGCATAATGTGAAATTTCTAGATAGTTATAACAGGTATTTGACATAAGAATTATAATTTTCGTGTACTTTTAAATAAATGTTTTCAGATAGTTTGTTTGGTCAAATATTATAGATTTACGAAAAGAATTTCTAGTTAATTATTATTCAATTGAATTGTAATATACTTCACCAAAATCATTGAGAGTGTTTTTAAACATGTTTTATAAAATGTTTTATTTTGGAATGCTTTATTGAGTAATAAATATATTTTAATCATGTTTTGCTATTTAACTTTATTCAGCAAAAAGGTTAGATGATGCATTAGATTCTGCAATAGAACAGATTAAGCCATGAAACCAGAGACTTTTAAAAGATTGTATCCCCTACCATGATCTATTCCCCTTGCAAAACATGGATACTCTCAAGGCTTTTTAAAACTATTGAGTTTTGCAGCATTTAACTTGGGTCTTTACATGATGTTTTTAATAAAAAAAGTTTTGCAGTTTGTACTGAGCAGAATTATGATTATCTACTCGGTATTGTGGATTTGTTCTGTTTTTAGCTGATTGAAATGGAAAGATTTTATTTTATATAAATGATCCTCCATACAGTGCCTTATTCCTTTTGAGGTCAGTTTACACGGGCTCGACTAAAGTTTCTGAAATTTCTTTCAAGGCTCAATTATAACCCCAAAGGCGGTGAAAAGTTCAGATAAATGCCTATTCTAGTCATGTTTTTTTTTGTCCCATTTGAACAAAAAAAAATATCCTTTTAAAGACCCTATGTATATATAAAGTCAAATGCTTAGTTCAGATTTATTATCAAAACCTAGAAATGCATGTAGCATTCTTATTTTTTAACATGATAGGAATAAGATGATATTTTTGTCTCAACTTGAGAAACAAGGGGATTAAAATCCGGCGGCTACTGCTCGAACTATTTATATATTTCATAGGATAGAAGACCTATCATTATTAAGTCCGTTTCTCAGATACTATAGTCAATAGGTAAAATATACTTGGTACATTGAGTGATTGTTAGGTGTACATGCCTGTCTAGCTGAGTGCATCTGGCTTTGACCTCACTTTCATCGCTCATTGGTCAATAAACAGCTTCAAAGTAAGGTCTGTTTCACAGGTACTATAAACAGTAGCTCAACTATATTTGGTGTGCAATGATTGTATGGTGTGCATGTCTGTCTGTATAAGGATTTGTGGTATGATTGCCAATGAGACAACTGTCCACACGTTTGTCTCACCTTAACCTCAATTACATGTTTCAAAAGTCAGCGTTATGTTTTTATGGCTTAGTCCATTTCGAAAATAAACTTAAAAAACGAACAAAAGACCAAACGACAAACAGTATACAAAAAAACCCTAGAAAACTTAAGGCTGAGCAACACGAAGCCCACCAAAAACCGGTACTCCGTTAGAATAAGAATATATCTGGTGTATGGGTTGATTGCAAGGCGTACATAGATATAAGAAGATGTGATATGAGTGCCAATGAGACAACTCTCCATCCAAGTCAAAATGTATAAAAGTAAACCATTATAGGTCAAAGAACGGTCTTCAACACGGAGCCTTGGCTCACACCGAACAGCAAGCTATAAAGGGCACCAAAATTACTAGTGTAAAACCATTCAAACGGGAAAACCAACAGTCTAATCTATATAAAAAACGAGAAACACTTATGAACCACATCAACAAACGACAACTACTGAACATCAGATTCCTGACTTAGGACAGGTGCAAACAAATGCAGCGGGTTTAAACGTTTTAATGGTACCAAACATTCAACCTTATCTGAAACAATAGTGTAACATCACAACATAGAAACACACACTATAAAATATCAATTGAAATGGCTTAACTCAATCAAAAGACATATTAACACCAGTGAACATACAATGAACACATACATACATGTATGTCTGGCAGAGTTCATCTGACCTTGATCTCATACATGGATCAAAATTTAGTTGGGTCTCTGTATCTGATAATATAAGCAACAGAATTCATGTTTGGTGTATGTAATGATTGTAAAGTGTACATGTCCATCTGACAGGGTCAACGGACCTTTACCTCATTAACAGAGGTCATTGAATATGTCAGTTTTATGCCATGCTTGTATAACATTTTTCTCTAAGACTCGACATAAATTAAATCATGACCATTTACTTGTTTTTTTTTTGCTTAATTTAATCCTGTTTGGTAAAAAGCAACAATAAATGCTTATATTCAAGAGACCTTTAAATTGGCTTAGATGACCTGGGCATAATAAAGTGACTAATAGTCTTGGGATGTGTGTTTTAATGATGCATTATAGTGGGAGGTTTAGATAGCTATAGATACAGTTTTAAACCGCTATTTTTTATGCCCCCGCCGTAGTGGAGGGGGCATTAAGTTATACCCTTGTCCGTCTGTACTTCCGTACGTCCCAAAATTGGTTTCCGTTTTATAATTTTAGTTTGCCTCAACCAAATGTTATGAAACTTATACACAATGCTTATTACCACAAAACCCAGATCATGTTTTAATTTTGGTGGCGTCACTTCTCCGGTTCTAGAGTTATGCTCCTTTACAAATGGAAAAATTGCTGAATTTTTCGTTTCCGTTCTCTAACTTTAGTTTGCCTTAATCAAATGTTATGAAACATATACACAATGCTCATTACTACAAAACACAGATCAAGTTTGAATTTTGGTCGCGTCACTTGTACCATTCTAGAGTATTGCCCCTTTACAAATGGAAAAATTGCTAAATTATTCGTTTCTGTTCTCTTACTTTAGTTTGCCTCAACCAAATGTTATGAGACTTATGCACAATGCTAATTACTACAAAACACAGATCAAGTTCAAATTTTGGTGGCGTCACTTTTACCGTTCTAGAGTTATGTCCCTTTACAAATGGAAAAATTGCTGAATTTTTCCGTTCTCTAACTTAAGTTTGCCTCAACCAAATGCTATGAAACGTATACACAATACTTATTACCATAAAACTCAGATCAATACAAGTTTTGGTAGCGTCACTTTACAGTTCTTGAGTTATGTCCCTTTTTAACGTTATATGCAAGCGGGGGTATCATCTGTGTCCCATGGACACATTCCTTCCCCATTTATTTCGTAAAAATAACCGGTACCAAGACCTGAATATGACAGTTTTTCATTCGTTCTGTTAGTTGATAAAGTATAATGTTTGATTTTGTCATTTTTGTTTTTGACTTCCCTCTTTTTATATTAAAATTGGAAATCGATATTTTTAATTTGTTATACTTTTTTGTAGAAGTTTGATTTACTCTTGACCGTAATATTTATAGAACAATTCCAAGTGAAGAAGGAGTTGTTCAATCAAGTCCGCCATTTTTTCTTATATATTGATGTTCAATCACAATAAACTTTGATTGAGATCAGTAGTCAGCACTTCTGTGTTAAGGTAGATGGGGTGTCTAAATTATAATCCATAGAATTTTTTAATAATTTCCCAAAATGTAGTTTATATCATGCTTTTTAAAAAAAAAAATAAAAAAAGAATGGGTCACGGGGCTTATTTTTACGCTACAGGTTGTGCAAAATTGACAGATTTTGTATAGATTATGCATGGAAAACCCAATTTTCTGCCATAAAACGAAAACTACACCATAGAATTTTGAGATAATATAAGAGAAGATAGCTCTAATAGTATGCTTTCAGATAAGAAAAAGAAAAAATGGGTTCACGGGACCCGTTTTCTTGCTACATAATAAAATAGGTAAATTCCTAACACATTCTATTGTAAAGGTAACTTTATCTGAATTATCTGCTCTTACATTTGAGTTGCCTCCCCTTATGTGGCAAAGTTGGAAAAAATAGAATCAAACAAAAGTATTCTTTTTTTTTGTAAAATACAACCATAAATATGATAAAATATGTCATTTCCTATTTTGAAATGAAAATTCTTACACATGAATTACCTACTACTCTCAAAATTTGCACCTTTTATTAAAGATCTAGACCGATTGTTTTCTGGTATTTCAAAATCCAAGATGGAGGAAGACACCCTATCTACCTTAACATGAGTTATCATTGATTTAGTCATAATTAAAAAAATACTGTTTATAAATTTTGCTTTTTTCGAAATTCTAAGGATTTTCTACACCAGGAATATAAAAGCTTAGCTGCATTCTACAAAACTTTTCTCAATGCTATTCAACTTCGTCTTTTAATTGGCCTTTTAACTTTTTTTGACACTGATGAGTCTTTTGTAGACGAATCCTGGTATCTATGACGAGTTTAATTAGATCTAAAAGACGATTATGAATTTGTGATCTGTCTCAATTTTAGGCATGTTCAGAAAAAGCTGTATCACAATATTATACTATCTGTTTTAATAGACGAATATAAACACCTTATGCCACTAGACACAAAAATAATTCACATATTACAGTTGTTTTTCACTCGTTCCGTTTGTTGATGACATTTGATTTTGTCTTTTTTTATGGACTTCCCTTCTTGGAATTTACCTTGAAGTTCAGTATTTTTGTTATACGTTTTTCTGAGATTATCACGGAAATGTTTAATTTAGAGACTAAGTTTTGGAACACACAATACGTACTGTTTTAACATATACTGTAGATGTAATGGCTCTGTGTTCGAAAGGTTCATTCGGGAATCAAATTGCTTATTATGATATTAGACGCTTTGAAACAATTTTTGTCAGCTTGTGGTGATTCTGTGATCTTTTTATTTACTAATATGCTTATAAAAATGCCTATGCAAAAACTATCATTCAAAGTTCAAGGCGTTCCATTGCTGGTTTTGACGTCCATTTAAATGTTATTTTGGATTAAAACATTATTCCTCTTAAGCTTTTGATACTTTCGGATTATCTATAATTGGTTCGTACACTACTGATTATAAATAAATTTTCCAAATACCCGTCTGAAGCGTCACACTAAAATCATTATCATGCTATTTTGTAATATGTATGATGCAATGATGATTGTTTAAGATTGTTTTCTGTCCAAAATGTCCACTTATTACTGATAAAGAGATGATTTACCACGTATCAATTGGAACTAGTCAAAAATCAACGATAACTGTCTTTTAAAATAAAACGCTAGACACGCGTTGCTTATACATAAAACTTATCAGTGGTTATTTTATCAAAATAGCTGAAAGGCTAAATCAATTAGGCAGTTGAAGATCATTAAAAATAAAAAAAAAACTTATTGCATGTTACTGGCACATATTTTCTAGATATGGCAATGTAAAGACTGTCTGTATTCCTGAATGTATTTA